AAGCTAATCATTTTATCTATTCAAAGGCTAATAAAAGGAACTATTTTGATTCTAAATGTGATGTACTTTACTACGTAATATCATAAGATAAGAAACTCAATTAAGATAAAGGAAAATTAAGAAATAAAACAAATATCATTTGAACTTTAAATGTACATTAGGCTTTTGAAACGACCATTTAACATATTTTAACTAATTATAATATCAATGATTTCCTTATAATTCCATTGATACATTACTTTTTGTATTGTATGGCATAATTGAAGTGTCTTTCACTGATAAAACTATCAATTTGTGTTTACTTTTCCAACATACCAGCATTTAATAAAACTGATTTTCCTTTACCCTCTTACACCAGATATTTCAAAGATACTCAGTCCTTAATATGTAATCATAAAGTCACTATTCCGTCAAAACTGTCCAAAACATGGTTCAATGTATTGGACTTTTAGACGTTAAGAGGCACGGCAAGTAAAATAAGAGCTACACCAACCCATCCAATGTTCAGTAACAGTTCTTTTTATTACAATATGCGTATCATATGATGAACTATGTTTTAAAACAAGAGAGAAAACATGTCAAAATAAGGACAGTTTAGCTGAATAGTATGATTTGTTTATCACTGTCTGTCAATGAAGATGAGACAAAGTCACACAATAAATATGGTATCATGTTTAAAACGCCTTTGCATTCATATGTACCTTAGACATGTTTTTCAGACGAATGACCCTTGTTCACGAATGGAACCAAGGATTGATGAATGGATATTGTAATAAACGCTCGTACATAACAAGGTAAAACGAGAAACATAATATCATGATGAACTCATGACTTTTCTCTGGTTCATTTTACAACGTAATATGTAGTTTTGTTTTTGGTTTAGAAGGACACTAACGGTAAATTTTTAACAGGAAACAATGCACGAAGTATGTAATATATTCATTGAAGAACAAAGCGTTTACATTAAAACACTTTTTTAAAGAGCATGTGTTTAATGAATAAAACATCAATCTGATTAGAAACAGTACAGAATAAACACATCCTGTATATAAAGTACTGTGTATGCGTAGAAACGCACCACGAAGTCCATTACAATATCATATTTAAAACTGTTTAGTGTAATTTAATTCCTCAATTGTTTTTTCTCAACTAATCTACAATGCAATAGAATCTTTTTTCCGCTATGTATTTTGGTTCAATTCTGCCATTGCCTGTAAACCAAACTGATTATAATAATCACATGTGTACATCTGATATAAAACGGTCATAGAAAAGGACTGAAATATATTGTTAAATTATGAATAGCGGTGTACACCACACTGTGATAAGGTTAATGTGTCGTCATCTCTTTGCATTTTCACCAAACCAGATACAAAATAGCACCTTTAGCCATCTCGTTTGTCACCATCAGCGTTTAAGGATAGTCGTTAGACCCGTCATTTTCATGTCGGTGTGATCTAGCTTGATTTGGATACAATGCCAATGTTTCAAAATCTTTAAGTTAATAAGTTTAGTAAGACATGATCAGAAAGCTGATAAAAGTGGCAAAGTCGCCACAATAACGTGGTGATGTCTGAAGAATACGCTTAAACTCAAACTCGCGCTAGGTTACTAAAATGATACAATTTAACTTACCCTAAGTATCTTAGCATGTTCCTTGTTTTTGCTCTGTTCATGTCTGACTTGAAAAAACTCTGGCAACCAAACCTCGTTAAGTGTTTATATCAATTTAGCTCTTCATTTGAATACCTCTACAATTTGCATTTTAAACGTTGGATGACCATCATTTGTAAGAAATGATACTCATTACCAAATCACCTTGACAGTGAATATTACTTTATTAGAGAAAATCAAAATAATTAAATTGTTCATATATTAACTTCGAACAATATGAACGAATTCTATTTTGAAATAGTGACAAAAAAAAGGAATTCATAATTTGCTACATTATATAACCTAATTTAATTGTGTCTTGGTTTCGTGATAATTCTAATGAATTTATTTATTGAAACGCAAGGGAACACTTTTATTGTTATTTCCAATTTGATTGTAAGGCGTAATTGTGTCAAGTTAAAAATATTTACTGCTCGAAGTCAACAGAATATCTATGTATATCGATGAAAATATTATGCTAATGCCCTTTTAAACATTTGATTAAAAGTCAAAAGTCATTTATTTCATGTTTTTTGGAAAATCATCAAAATTTTATTCTTTTGTTTCATACATTGATCAGCAAACGTCGTAACACACACAGTTTTTTTCTTACAAGTATATGATGAAACATATTCAAAAGTTTTTGTTATGTGTTTGTGTATGTTATATTTGTGTGTTTCTGCTTTTTTTGGTTTGTTTGTTTTGTTGTCGTTGTTGTTGTTTTTACAACATTTATTGCTAATCATACTCGTACTTGTGATGATTTTAACGAGTTTGAAAATGAATACAAAGAAAGTGTTTGTTTTTACTGCAGAGGTAATTCTGATTTATATAATTATGCTGTTTGACTTGAATGTATTTACTTTCATATTCAGACGACTGTAAAATGTATTTAGACAGAAAAGTTTTATGTTTTCCTTCTCCATATTAAACAATTTATGATATATATTTAATCTAACTATTTATGAGTAAATAGAAATAAGAAACTATTTCTTTGATTTCTCATTTGAATATAATTATCTTGTAGTCATAAATTTAATCTAATTTTATATTATTCTTCAATATTGTTTGCTAAAATTGTTTTGAGAAAAGATTACAGGCAAAAATATTTCATAACTTTACAAAGGATAGATCTGAAAAGATTTTATATATATTGCCTTCCTATTTTGATTGATACGAAAATGAAATAAATAAATGAATTGATAACCAGAATGTTTGCTCGATTTTGCCATTTAATTTATCCTTGGTCACAAAAAGGCTTTTTTTTAAAATTAGATATGCGTGTTTCTTTTTTTCTGTTTAATTGAAAAAACTGAAATACAAAAACATTGTTGGCATATCAGTACGCCCAAAAACACGTCGGAGTTTAGAGTCGTTGTTAAAGTTGCAATATGTTTAATTCATTGATAAAAGTGTAAAACATTACGGAAATCATGTTTTCTTTATTAAATGCTTATTTATGTTTATGCTAAAAGGCTTAGAAAAACTACACGAGTGTTATGTCAAGAGCACAGTGAATGCCAAGCCGTCGCAACAAAAGCTAAGACACCCAAAGTGCGTTATTTACATGTATCAGATGTGATATACAATGAATGATTTTACCTTGTTGGTAAATTGCAATGCAGTTTTGTAATAAACGATTTTGATCGCATGATAAGTTATTGATATTTACAAAAATCAAATTCAACGTAATATATTTGCTCTTTTTTTCTTTTATTCTTAAAGGTTACTATGTATGTTTTACCCTGTTGGTAAATTGCAATGCAGTTTTGTATTAAACGATTTTGATCGCATGATAAGTTATTGATATTTTTCTCCACAAATATGAGGCTAATAAGACATTTGTCGGAATGAACATATAGTATATAAATTTACTATCTATTTCATAAAATCTGGATAAGTTCCCTCGAAAATTAGTAACAACGCAGACCTTGTGTGATTGAATCGCTCTATGAGAGATAATGTTACTTCTATCACGCCTTCTTGCATAAACCATATAAAGAAGAAGCGTTAAGAGGTTATTAGTTTTACCATAAGAACTTTTAACGCAGATCCTGTTTTGTCAGTTAAATGGATCGTGATAGAAATGCGGTTTTTTGTTTGTTTTTTTTTTTCCTTCCTGTCTTTGCATTTCAATGCAACATTTATCTCCCGATTATGTCACATTATTGTGTTGACTTCCCGTTACTATTCAATCGAAAACAAATGCCACAATTTAAATTGGAAGCTTTGTTTACAAATAGTATCACACTTTTTTGTATATTTCTTGTAATGAATATTAGGATATGTAGAGTATAATGGAACTTTTCTAAGTTAAACTCGGACATAAAAATATATTCAATTTGGTAGTAATATGCCCTTTGTAGATTGTTATTTTAGTAACTTTATGGTTCCTTTCTTTTAAATAAAATTTTAAAAAATGGTCATAGATACGTTTGGACTTATTCAAGGTTAGAAAAAGAAATAATACTTCGGACAAATGGTATTGCAACAATAGAACTGAAGGATAAGTCATAATCAAGCATTTACAATGAGCATCTGCGATGTTAAGACATGGGCACGTTCTCACCTTTAGTCTATTTATTATCACTTAATTAATCACGAAGGTCTGTCATTACATCCCGATCATGTGCGGAATGATTGCGTCCAAATGCCTTACGATAAAGATTAAAAATGCAACCTTTACTTAAATCGTGGCCAATTCTTGTGTCAGATACAACTTGTGATAAGAGCAACTATTGTTCAAGAAAACAAAGTCACATTTGCACCGACACAAATCGATTTTTCAAAATAGTATTTTATTACCATAAATGTGGCATTTGACGAATTGTCCTTTCAAACAACTAAGTAAACATATAAGTTGTGGTCAGTATTTGGCATTACTGTTGGCTATTTTAACACATCCGACGGTCAAATGATACATTTTTGATGAAAAGTCATTGCCGATGAGGCAAAATCAGACAAGGAATTTGTTTTACAGGGGTGATAAAAAATATCGTTCTCGTTTTGTCCAGACTAATTACTGTTGTTTGTATGACCAGACAAGGGATTTATGGGAAGAACTTGTTAAATACATGACAAGGTATCATGAGGTAACAAATTAAAGAGCACGTGAATTCGTTCTAATTTCTAGCATTTTAGCAATTTTAACTGTTACAGTAATGTTTTCTCTCATATGTGCAAGAGAGTGCTAATTTTATTGCCCGGTATGGAGATGTAATGTGCATGAAAATGAGTTAAGAAACTCTGTACATCAAATGTTTTATATGTTTGTAAAGTTTTTGAGACATAGATGTACGTATATACAAGAACTTATATATAGGGGAAAAGGTAAAATAACAAAATCATTCATCAAAAGACTTTATTAAACTTTAAACCAAACAAATTCAAAAAGAAATATCTAGAATGCTTTTATATATTAATTTAATATATTTTTTCTATCTATCTAGCAATGTTCCATATCAATATTTATATTGAAAAATTGATAGTGATTTTATTATTTACTTATAACAATCAAAGAAATATTGACTCCTTTTAATTTTGCATTTAAAGTTTCTTTTTAATTTCAAATTCTATAATGATACATTTTTGATATTGCTAACTTTAAAATGGTGTACTTTTTATTTGTTACATTCCAGGTCGTATCATTTCGCAAATCATTGCTTTCAAAACCCGATTAAGATTAAGAGAAGATACAAAGAGCATAAAAACGGAACTTAGAAGCATGTATTTATATTTGCTGTAAACATTGACGTCATCGCTTTATGGTTGTTCTTGTTGTTTTATGATGACATTCATATACTATGATGTTACAAATATCGTTATCTGTTAGACATTTTGAGAGAAAACAACAGTTAAAGCTCATGAATGTATTCCTAAAATATTTAAATAGATTATGAGATAAGCTCTTTGCAGAATAAAAAAAATGCTTTAATGATTATTTAAGTTTTAAGCTCACGTGTAAGATAAGACATCCAATGAAAATTCAAATAAAGGGATGTATGTTGATTGAAATAGATTCGTTTCAATGTATAGCGCGTATCTGTCAACTAAATCATTTTAAATAGCGTGTGTAAATACCATCGGTTTGCATCCTTTGTTTGCAAAAATGACTATGTTTACAAAATTATAAATTGCAATGCGTCAAATATATCACTGCTGAAAATTGGCTGTTTTTGTTGCCAATCAGAACTATAATTTCCGGTTTTACTTCCTTCTGCGTCCCACTGTTCTCATAAGCATGCGCAATCTGTTTGTGTTCATGTTGACTGACATTGGTAGCCGATTTTGAGCCAGAGTTTTTGTCATCATATCCAAGTTTTCCAAACCAGCTACTCCTAAAATATAACGAAAACAAAACTATGTTAAAATTAATGTTCTTAAAGGATTCTGTATTCTCTATTGTATGATACAATATGTTACGTTTTTTATATATTTATTTTGTTTGCATTGAAATCATTGTCAGCTTATTTCATCAAAGATTAGGCCTTCATTTCCGTCACTGTGTGACCTATCGTTAAATGTAACAAATGCACTTTAGATAAGAATTGCAAAATTATGTATTTTTTCCGCGCAATATGAATATGAGTGACAATGTACGTCAAACAAAAAACTAAGAAACAAAAAACAAGCAGTAAATACGCCAAGTGAAGGTCGGCTGTCCCTTGGCATAAAATTACTTAGAAATTTAAATAAAATACAATTATCTGGTATTATCAAACAACCGATTTAACAGATCTACCTTATCAAACAGCTGCGATTGAAATGACATTGAAGAAACTTTATGATATATGATGATGAAAAGTGGGAGTAAAAATTGTTTCATAAGCTCTGACATATTTCATTTTGAAATTATAGTCGTTAATGCCTTTTATCGTTGATGTTACATGCTTTATGTCATACAATTGTCCAATATGTGATAAATATATTCATTACGACAGTGTTACAATGTTACCCTACAATACTGAATTCTATAAGAGAATTGCAGAGCTGTTAAGCCTAGATTGGGCCAGGCAGTTGCAATGTCTTTGGCAAAAAACCTACAGTGTTCTGCATTACATTTAAAGTTAAATAAAAGGTTTGCCCGTTGATACACTACACTGATTAATTATTAATAATGTGAATAGAAAACATTTTCAAGGTCTAATATGAATTTGATATGGATATTCTTGATTTGAAAAATGAAAACGATGATTGACGGAGTACAATTTGAATTTGATATAAATAGTTTTGGACGGGACTAGAAGGAGTAAACTAGTGATATGGCATGGACTATTTTGGCTTGGGAAATAAAAAAGATGCTAAATTGATAAAATCAGATCCAATAATTATCACCAATGGTGCAAACGCTTGTACATTTTACAAGGTGTGAAATATAGAATTACACTTAATTTTGGAAATGGATTAGATTTTATATTTACCCATATGTTTTCAACGACTATAATTGAAACGATCTAGTACTGTCGGCTACGATTTTAAATTGATGTTATCATTTTCCAAAATATGTTATTCTGCTAGGACACAAGATAATTAGATTTAGTCACTAACACTTATTTGAAATGACGTAAACATATCCTCCCTTGTAAGCCAAACTATAATAGGTAATTTAACAGCGACAACAACACTTGGATTTCCTTAAATCAATATCTTTCTTACAGCCTAAATACGTTAGCAAGAGCAATTAGAATTTGTTATTTCTTCATAAATACTAAATTCTGTCACCGGAAGGTATAATTTGTACCTTCTAATAGACACCTATGGAAGATAAGTCTTAACACCAGGTTAAGAAAACGTTAGCAAACCGTTATCAGATTTGTCAAAAGACCTTGTTAACGTAGATCAAACCGTTACTGAGCTAACAGAACATCCAATTATAGGAGATAATGGGCTTAAACAGAACAATACTTTTACTCATCGCTAAGCATCATATGCGCTTGCATGATAGTTGTACTTTTTTTTTGTTTTACAGCGAGGCGTTCAAATTGTATCAGAATAGTTTGGATATGTCAAATGCAGCGGCCATGGAGTAGAAATCAATTCACATTAATTTCGGTCTTCAATTGCTAAAATTTCATTTTTCATCAAAGCACAAGTACAACCCAAGGTATACAAGTTGTTCCCTTAACAGAATGCGTAGGAATACAAATTCACTTATTATCAACATTTAAAGATTTTTTCAATTAATACATAAGACTATTTTAGTGGCCTCTAATTATTCAAGAAATAAATCAGTACTAGTTAAACGACGGTCAAAAGTACCTTCAGTAATGATATACAGCGTTATAATATAATTATAATACTGGTTTAAACAATCATATATTTTACATCGTCAGAACATATGAGGTGACATTTATTCAATGACTCAATAGTTTTAGCTGACGCTATGTAGAACATGTGTGGGTGGTTCGATATTCACCTTAAAGGACACACTTTAGGTATGAAGAATCAAAAACAGATCTTTAAAATCATTTTTTTTGTAGGAATAGCTCGATTATTGCCGCGAAACCACATGAGTAAGTACAAGCTATAGATAAATTTACCTAAACGTTTAAATCTTGATGCACCTTGGTCGTTCTCGTTGGCTTTCAGCTGGTCTGAAATTAAAAAGAATCACACATATGAAATCTTCAAATATTAACCAAATTCAGAAACCTATAAAAATATATCCGCAATCTAAATGCCGTTTGACAAAGTGCATAAATAAATAGATAGTTCATTAAGAAAATTATCTTGAATACAACTGGCAAGCAAAGTTTCCTATTCGAAAACCGTTTAATTGCTAATATGTGTAATAAAAATCGCACATGACTGTTAACAATATTGGCTCTTTTTTAACTATAACAACAGCTCTTTACTGATTCCGCTATTTGTATATTCACGCCTTTGCTTTGATAAATACAATTCTTGATGTTCTATTTTTGTATTAGAGAAATAATGCAATAGGCGTCAAGCAAACAATGTACTTGTATTTCCCATATTGTTCGGTTTCACTTTCCGTTTGTCTGATTCTTGCATTGTCCGTTTAATTATCACCATAAATGATATCTACACACTTCATACTGTCATTTAATGATGGCACTGTGTTAAATTTAAGCTTCTTTACTTTATAATTACGTCATTTGAAACAGCTCGCCAACTATCTAAAAAGACAGGAATAATTAGAAGTAGTTCTTCCACGTTGCCAGATCGACATGTGATTTTGTTTTGTAAAGTAACATTTGTTAGATATTATGATAGTTTTATTCTTGAAACAGGTCTTGTATTTCGAAAATTAAATAATGACTAGTATATGGCGTTAGATCAGAAACAAAATTCAAATATGAAAACTCGAAAATATCGTCCCATATGTTTGAGTTGTTTTAACATATAGGAAAATGAACATTTAGGATTTTTGAAGTCCTAGTGTCAAAGAATAAAATTATGTTTCTTTCAAGTTTATTGAATATATGTGTATTTTAAATATAATATCTTGAATATCTTTGATATTTTTGAACAGATCCAAAGAGATTATTACATATTTATCTTATTATTAAGGCGACAACGGACACTTTCCGTAGTACTACCATAAATGTCTTTTAAACCAACTTATTTTAGTAATAATTGTTATTTATTTAAATTATGTGCATTAAATGTCTTTGATCTTCATAAAAAATATCATATTTGAAAAAAATGCCTTTGTAAATTATTGATTTTGATACAAAAATCTATAATATCAAAGTCATTTTTTATTTTTTTGTCATCAAACTCTTGGAATATATATAAACATAATTATAATATCTGGGGCACCGTGTCCCAGATTTGTTCTATCTTTTCTCAAAAAAAAAGTACGTAACGTCAAACAATTTATGCGACTTTTTTCACCATACATATTACGTAATTAAAGATAATTAAGTCGCTGATTGAGCAAACAAAAATCCCTGACATGGTTCCTTCCGGAATTGAATTCCCTTTTATATGCTTTAAACCACATGTAAATTGCTTGTTGATTTAAAAAAGTTATGCCGATTCAAAGTTAGTCCGACGCGCATCAAACGAAGTGTCATAAATCGGTTGTTCTCTCTCAAACCCCTACGTTTTCCGTTAAATTATTGTATAACACGCAAATATCACACCAAAGTGGGTGACACGATGTGGTAACTCATACTCTAACAACTTTTATTACCCAGTGACATCTGACCAATTAAAAAGCAGCTGATATTTTCTTCAAATCTTAACGTGATTTACTATCCGTCTGGTATCTGTCGCACATGTCACGTGACTATCTGTGAAATTTAAGGCACTTAGTGGGATAAAATGGAACGCATTTAACGTTCGTACTGCTATCGAGTAATCATATTGTTTCGCTTTTGATGTTATTATTATTATCTAGCATCATCATCATTATTACTACAATATTATATCAGTGTCACTCTGCCTGTGTATTCGTGTATGAAATTCCGTTAAAATATCAATTAAAATAACGAAAAACTGTGCTCCTGACAGACTTTTAAAGTCCGTACATGGTACGTTGTACAAATAAGAACGGGATATTATATATTTTTGTCCGATCAGTTCATATATTAAATGCTTGACATACATAGATTCAGTTTCTTCTTGGACATACAATAAGTTGTGTTCGATTTACTAATGAACAATATATTCAAACCGTTCACTGAAAATATATTTTCATATCTTTAAGAATTAATTATCCGAAGACTATCGTAAAAAATAGTTTAGAAGTTTGTAAGGGCCACCTGTCAACCTGTTCACATAAATGTGTTGTCTGTTTCTTTTGACATTGTTAGAAAAAACGAGGTTGCATGCAAAGCAAGCTCTTGAATCCGTACTTAAGTTCATAAACTCAATATAATGTCTATCAGATTACTTACGTGATAAATAAATTTCACACATTATGGATAAAGGCAGCTACATTGTTTTAACTATCCCAATGGTCGTGCGATTTACCGCTATGCTAAATTATTTGTTACATCTTGGCCGACAATTTCTTAATTTATAAAATGGCTACTTAAATGGTACACGATATAATGTTGAAATATTCATAAAAGATGTACAGTATTTTTATGATGCATGTATTACGAGTAATATCGACTGATAACAAATAAACCGGTAAGTCATGGATATATGGAACTACCGATTTCCCTCATTGATGCCTCAATAGGGGGCGGCGTGTTATCGATAATTGACAGGCTACGCGCATAGCGGATAAAAAATGGTATAGGTATCGTTTTCAAACGTTTAAAAACATAGTTTCTTGACTAACTGCTCTCAAAATTAAATCATGAATGTATTCAGAAAAGGTTGATAAATCTACTTAGCTAAAATCTCATTTTAGGTATTTTTAGTGATAATTGACTCCGTTGTCACTTTAATCTGTCCAGAATTTATTCCTATAATTGTGATATAAAAACATATTTTGTTTGATATTCTTCGTCGTTAGAGAGAAATATATTTCCCATTGTTTGATAAACCAAAATAATTTGATTAACAATCCACGTCATCAGAGGATCGTATTTTCTTCAGCATTTATATCGGATTTAATTAAATAAATGTTTCGATTTTTTTTCCTTCAGTCTAATGTATCTTTTACACATTACTTAACGTTACAAAAGTGCTGTAATGAAGCAGGGCTATTTTCCAGCGCTCACTGGGAATATTAACACAATCCTTGCTGAATGCAAGCTTCATGCCGATACAATTATTATTACTGCTGATATAGTTAGGATCATGTGAAGTACACAAATTTGTCAAAGGTGTAACACTAATTTACTATAAATATTTATTTGCTCACCGGGTAAGGCGGCAATTCCGGAAAGAAACCATTATATTATAGCAACCTATTTTTATTAACAGCACATCCTAACATTCGATATGTCAAATTTAAATATAAAGTACATACAAGACATACATGTATGTCTGTTACCTAGGACCGCTTGATTAACCTTTAAGACACAGAAGTTTGAATATCTTCCTTACAACATATAAAACACTTAATGTACGTTCACGATGTTCATTGTTATTACATTTGTGTTTATTATTTCTATATATTCATCATGTCTTGCTCCTACAAATTATTGTATTATGTTATTTGACTTTTGAGAAACGAAAATTTCACATTAAAAAAAACAATGTTTAAATTTTTTATTCTGTATTCGTTTTCTGATTGTATAAAAGTATTACTCTGTTAGTTTTTTTAGATAGCTTATTGATTTTAGCGAGTAAATTTCATACTGCACTTGCAAGGAAAACCCTAAATAACACGATGCAGATAGCCAAAAAGCGGAAACACAAATCAGGTCTGAATATATATAGATATACGACAATATGTCATGTAGTTTGTTTCCTTACCATATAAAAGAGCTTGTAACATACTGAGAAAACATTTATGATCAGTGAAATCGGCTTACAACCAAAGTTGTAATGTTAGAAGAAGCAAATGTTAATCGAATAGTCAGGACTTGCATCCGTTGTTTTTGGGACCGATGCTACTGACTTCCAGTAAAATTTAATAAAGCACTATGCTATATCTACAAAACTAATATATGTAGCCCAGTGTCACTAGGCAAGTATTACGACTTTTTTTATAGTAACAATATTATATTATATGGTGTTTCGTCAACAAAAGTCATTGTTATGTTTAACATTTAATGAAATATGAATATCCTGTTCTCAATGATTAAGAATCTGTAGTTTACGCATTTATTATACGGACTAGTTGTACTGGCTGAGTATTTTACCTCATAATTAAATAAAAACAGTTGAATGGAAATAATTCTCACCGTTTATGTAGTCGTAATTTGATGACTCAGCATTGTTCAAATGTTCATCTAACCACTCCGAGGCTTTTCGGTTGAGATCAAGTTGTAATCGTGGTAAAAGATAAATGTCCCATAACGTTTTAAAGTCTTGTGTGGCAACGTCCTCATTGTTATACCCTGTGTCAGTCGATCTGTCACCAGACACGGCCATTATTAATGAAACTATGACGGCAAATAAACATATAAACACTCGATGATTCAAATATAAGACATTTCCTCGGTAGATTTCCATGGCAAAGATTGTTTGATTTTGCAACTTTTTTTTCTATTCGTTACTTTTACTTAAATGAAATCTGAAAAGGAAACATTTTGTTTAGAAATAAATATCATACCAAAATCAGAATTAAAATACAAACATTATATTTGAAGAAAATATGTTTGTTAAGACTGAGTTCAAATATCATATATTGCATCTGTGTCAATAATCATAAGTGATAAGGTGGTTTCTTAAATACGAAGAGTATCAGTCTACTATTACAATAATGAAGCAAAAAAAGAGACAGTCTGTTGAAATAATTCGCCAATGCCAGATAACACCGTTATCCCTTATGCTTCCAATGATTATAACAAAAAAGTATGAAATTGTATGATAGAACGATGTGTTACAGCCTCTATTTACTATAAGAGTAGATTACTTTCTGTTCTAATAAATATAGAAACATCAACTATATCAAATTAGCACGATCATCCTATCAATGCTGTAATCTAATTAATAAAATGGTCGGACGTGATCTTCTCAGGATAAATGCGAAGTAAAATGCAAACAAATAGGCTTTTGACATGCAATAAGCAAAAGCTTTGTTACCATAACATTTAAATCAGAAAATTGTTATGTGAAATAACATTTACAACCTTTCGAGATATATCTACTTTTCTTAGCGGTTGCAGTCGAAGACTTATAGCTAATAAAAAGTATGAACACAATAAAACCAATGTTTGATCTTTTTAAATATTTTTTTCTTAAAAACAATTTCGAGCAAAATCTGTTTAATTTCTAAATCACCTTTTCATGTTTCTAACATGCCTTTTGGCAAGTAAACTTTTGAAATTATCAGGCCAAAATTCGTATTCATTTACAGATTATTAAAACTACTATAAAAGCTTACTTTGCAAATTAGTTGACACAATTTCAAAATCGCAAATTCAAATAAAACATTTGTTTCGTATAATATATATCAAGAATTAGTTACTTTGTTTCGCAATTTATTATATAAGATTTAAAATAATTCACTATTTTTTCTTTGTATCAAATCAACAACTTAGAATACATTAAAACTATAATGTATTTTATCTTCAAATATAAATTTTATGTCAATGATAAATTTTATAAAAGCACAGTAAAATCCATTTTACGTTGTCATTCAGACATACTTATGCACTGACTTAACATCAGTCGATGATTAGGTTTGTTGACTTTTTAAATACAATTAATTTAAAAAAAAAAAAATAATTTATAAATGTTTAATTATATGGCGTATTTAAAAAAGATTATTAGAATATTTGTCCATATAAAGAATAAATTTGTTTATTTTTGTTACTTATAGAATTTACTTTATTCCTTATCAAAACATATCACTTATATCAATAGATGAATTAAATTAATTATTTGTTATCAAATATTAAAACTAATTAAATCGCAGTTACCTTGTTTAACCTTAATAATGTTCGATAAAAAAATACATCCGTAGTAAAATAAAGTCGATAATAAAAATGTGACACAAAACTCAATGGAACATATTTATACAAGACCGAATTGCATAAAGAACGCTCATGTATCCATACGCTGATACCAAAACTAACACATACAGAGAGAAAATGTCTCTCTTATAACCAATACACTGTATTGTAAAATATCCATTGCTTTATAATTCAAAATATTTCGACATTGTGCTGAGACTAGTTACTAACTGACAATAAGCCTGACAAAATCATCTAATCTAACATGATGCCATACCGTTTAATCTGTATCAGATACTTGTCGTTCAGTGGCTTTTTCTCTAGTGAAGATATTTCCACATGTGTGATCTCTTATAGCGGTAAGGGTCGCTAAGCACGCGATCAGGACTAATAATTGCATCATTTTTACCTGAGAACTTAACAAATTATCTGTTTTTTAATGAATTATTTAAGGCTCTACAATGTACACTTTCTTATATTAAAGTAAAGTCTTTCTTTTCTTTCATGTTAGAGAGTTATCAACGTAGCTTACGAAATGTCGGTGGTGATCGGATGTATACCCGTATGAAATAATGACGGCGGGACACCTGAGATAGTATAGTAAAGCCTACTGTGTGTGTGCGACGTAAAACCAAACATAATTATGTGAATTCAATTTAACCTTTATTTTTTCAGTTGGTATCTATAATTTAGCATAATTCTGAACTGAAACTGTTTTGTCATGTTATGTTAAGTTAAAATCTGATAACATGTTACTTCAAGTTATAAAATGATACGATGGACTTTATAGTGTACTGGACGGAAAATTTGCGTAGGCAGAGATAATGTTTGTGCTTCTTAATTATATCAGGTTTGCATTAAAGCAAATGTAGTTTGGAAAAAAAGAATCAAATCATAATATCAAACCCCTTAAAATTTTCTGTACGTGAAATTTTAATTCGATATAATTGATTTAAATTCCCATAGAATTCAAGAAATATCAGGGAAAATGTTTCTAAAAACGAGTATAATTTTTTCCAGCATTGTCGAATTTCAGAGCTAGTGGCCAGTATCATGATTGTGAAAATAAACCCAGAGACAATTTTAACATTGCAAAAGGCAATATGTTCAAAAGTTATAACAGAATGCATTTTATATAATCAATGTATCGAAATAAGTTTCTTTAGGATTGCAATGAAATATTATTTGTTATTATTTCATTTTTCTTTCATCATATTATTAAGATTTTTTTTTCTTTTCTTGAGGCATTGATACAAGTCAGAAGCGGATAAGAATTTGAAGCATGCTTTTTCTTCTTTTTTTTTTAATTTTGTGCTCCTCGTGAAATAATGTTTTCGAAGGTTTCTAATATTAATTGTTTATCTAGGATGTTATTTAAAAAAAGGAATGAATTTTTGAAAGTTCATATAAATTGTTTGATTTCCATGCAATTGCTTTGAAACTTTACAATATTCTGTTTAAAAGTTTAAAAGGCATTAAAGCAGATTAACATGTACTCAATTATACTTTTTATTCTTTGTTTTCGTTTTTCATGAAATCCATATTATTCGTGCAATTTATCAAAGAGCACAGACTTTACCTGACCCATAGACATCTTTATCTGATTGCGAATGATCTTTTATTTGCATGGCAAGTTTTGATGGATTTACACGGTATGTATGATTATATTAAAATTATCATTAAATAGAATCATGACGGACTAAAATAAGATCTACTAATAGCTTCACAAAATTCAATTTTAGCCTCCGCTATTATTGATAAAGCTTTATCTTTATACATGTTAAAGCATCATTTTTTGTAAGTATTACAAATACGTTTTGTACACAAAAAGTCTTCTTATTTAACTTGACATAGTAACAGGCCTATTTTATGAATGAAAATGGAAACCTTTTCCACGCGGAAATGTATTCGTACTTTGAGAGAATCTTGTAATTACTGAAGCCCTTTTTGACATTGAAGCTCATGTCACGGTACAAGCCCAAGCGTAATCATATCATCATATAACCTTATAAAACAGAAACAATGAAATTATCCCCGCAATGTGAAGCCTTACATAAACACTTGAAATTGTTCTAATCATACTAAAACTAAGATTAACCATGATCGTTTTGTAAATAGCGGGTCTAATTGCCTCATGACTTCTTGAGGGCGTACCAATTAAACAAACGGATGGAGCTGCAGATAATGCTGTTACTGAAGTTGCAAAAGCATAGTTCCATGAATTTATGAACTGTTTTACAATTGCATAGCGAGTAAAGGAAACATAATTATCCCATTTTAGCTATGGTAATACATTTATAATACCATTTCATTAATTGAAAGTATCATCATGATAAAAAAGATATATTTCTATATATTGGATATCTGAATGCATTGTTTTAGAAATTAACGAATACGTAGTCGCGAATACGTTAATTGCATTAAACTTAAAACTATTTAAAAAAGTTTAAATAATTTTCCAGTGATTCATTCGATGAATTTTATGAGACAAAGAGCAAATATAATATTATATTTTTTAATAATATCAAAGCACTGTTTTATGAAAAACCAGTAAATCATAGGTAATATAAATGACAAGCATTTGAAGAAAAGTCAGTATCATAAGATAAAACTATTATTATTCATTATTAAACTGGAGTGTTTAAGCAAATATTAAGATCTACCGCCGTAAAATTGTCATGGAATTTCACAATCAAAAGAAGGAAAATAAATGCTGTTTCCTAAGTTGTAAAAATTGTAAATTGAATATGCCATATATAAATTACCAATGACATATTTATACAGTGTACTATTACTATTTTCTAATTTATTACATATTTCATTAATAGTAAATTAATAAATTCACATGTATGAATTCCGTTTTAGACGAGCTAAAATAGACAAAAAAATGGGATAATTTGAATCAAATTTAGTGATAAAATAAGTGATAACATTTTCCTTAATCCATGTATGTAACGTGTATTACAATACGAGGATTCTTAAATATATCAACTAATCAAAACATTTAGCGTAAATTGTGGTGCGAATCCGTACATTCGTAAAATAAAAACATAAACATACAAAATTTAATAAATACTTTCAAAAATGAAAAACAAAAAGAAAATAACTTACGAACTGTTATCACGTACGTTTTGCTCAATATATTACTTTATCTCTTCATGTGTAATGTTCTAATTAAAACAGAAAAATGAGGAAAGAGGTCTTATCCGAACCTGTTAGTCTTGTAAATTACTTTGCAAAATCCTTACATTCGTTCATCCTTATATACAAGAATCTACTGAAACTGCCGAGTAATTCAGATACCCTATCTAATAAATCGACTTTCTCTTGTATTACAGTTGGTGTCGTTTATTAGTAAAACAGGGATGATCTGGCAATTCACAAATGAAAAATCAGTACCGTTAGAGTTTTTGAAACATATTCACTCGATTGCAGAGTACAATAGGTATATCGTGCTACATGAAGCTTAACTTGTAATAGGAAGATGAAATAATTACATAAAGTTTAAAACGTGATCCAGAATTCATGAGATAAATGCTTACAATGTTTGTGTCTAGTTTAATTTAACATTTTATTTGTTTACAATTACGAAATATAGCGATGCATTACTTTTGCCATTTCGCGTAAATTAGAAAAGCCAGTATCTGCGTCTTTGTCTAGGAATGCGCAAATGCCTGTATTCTTCACATTTTTTTTTTTTTTTTTTTTTTATATAATTGTTAGTTGCAGACTTGTTTGATTTGTCTTCCACTTTTTACATATGAGACAAGTCAGCTTTGTAATTATAAAGGGATAAACTTATATATCAATCGTTAACATGTTTCCGTCAGTTTCCGGAGTTTTGCTAGGTAAAGAGTTTCGAAATCAAAGTGTCATCATGAGAAAGGCATTATTTTAAATTGTATAAAGGATAATGAAAGTTTTGAACAGAGACAAGCTCCATCATGCACTATTTTTATCTTTCAAATAAAAACAACAGTCAACTTTGTAATGAAATCAATTACATACATACGATACCGTTAATTAAATGTACAAATGTAAAAAAAACAGTGTTTTAAAGTGATATCATCTCCAAATAAATACATTTTAATTAAATATCATCGGATGCATTAATTCATTCTGTTTATCCTTCTTATGTCCGTCTTTCAATCTGGACAAACCCATTCATTCCTTTTTGAGAGTGCAGCCAACATGACCATAAAACAAATTCTACTTTCTTTATTTTTAATAAGTATGTTTTTATAAGAACTAGGTGTTTTATTAAATTTCAATAAAAAGCATGAAATGATGAAGTATCTTTGTGTATCTCAGCATTGAATACTCGAAAGTTGAAAAATCTATCTTTAAGTTAGTCTTTGGTAAAAATGAAATATGTATGACTTGATCTTTTACAAACACGCAAGAGATGCTTCAAATGTAAATATGATTGACTTTTTCTATTTCTATATTTATTTCTTTCTGCATTTTTTAATTTATTGTAATGGATTGTCTCTCACGCAACATAATACACATCTGAGAAGAGTTGTCTTATACGTCAATGGATTAGACATGATAGAGGAACCTCTTAAAATAGTCATACAAGATCATACCGATACTGGTGTTACTCTCAGAGTGAGTTTAATACATATCACAAATCCGAAGCTATACTGTAAAGAAAATGAGGCAAAGACAAATGCCATAGCTTATTCTATACCATCCTAGATAAGAGGTCTATGAAGTAGTCATGGCGTGTCATAAATATCCCTATTTATCTACGAATGCTTTTTTTCATTTCCCTTATAAGACATCTTTACGCCCTATATTGCGTGACTACGCATGAAATAGATTGGAATCTATTCTTCATTTTGACTAGCGATAGAAATAAAAAGGCTTAATGTTGACATAGCGTTTAACAAAGACCTTATAATCAGGTTAGAATAGTTATCTTTACTATATGTATATATCCTATACATCAAATTAACGTGGAATAATATTTAATCATATTTGCAGTAAGCTTTTGAAGGTTCGTCATATTTTGATCAATGCAACTTATATTGATCCAAAGAAAACTTGCGATCTAAGTATTATATTTCCTCATTTTTTGACGACATATAATATAGATCATTGCATACGAATATCACTTTTTG